ACTCTGGAGAACAAGTCCTAAGAGAAGTGTCTCATCTTTGGTTGCCACTGCAATGCGTTTGCCAACCTGCTGAGTGCTCCTGGCACCTTTGGAAATGATGGAGAGCTTGATTTGGGACATTGAGCCAAGGGACTGTAGAGACAAATCAGCAGTGCCCCCTGGGCAGCCCTTCTTCTGTTCCTGGGGAGTGCAAGTGAATCTTCTGCTCCCTCTCAAGCTTAAGGTAAATCGCTTCACCTCCCTCCCTTCTAAGGGTACTGTAGGTCTGTTGTGAAGCTACATTGCTTGGCTTTCCATACCACCTCAGGATCCTCCCAGGGAAGTCCAAAGTAGTATTTGTACTGTGCTTTGGTGTTTATTTGCTGTTTGCAGTGGCTGGAGGGTGACTGCCCACACATGGTGGTCAGCAGGGATGCCGTGTGCCCCCACACAATCACAGCTGCCAGATTAAAGCCCGGCCTTTCCCTCTGGACTATATTCCTGCTGCTTAGTGCCAGCCAGATGGTCTGTCCTCCCTCCCATCCCGAGATCTCTAACGCTCATACGAGTGCTCTGGCCATGGCTGGAGCTAATACAGCATTATTTCCATCACACACTTGGGGTGTCCTTTGTGTGACTCCAGATTGCTCTTCTCATTTCTAACTTTTTTGAAAATTATTATTATTCTTTTCCTTTATGTCAATTGTAGGGTCCAGTATCTCTGAACTGTTTTTCATGGTAATATTTATCATTGATAGGTATCTGAAATGGGCAGTTTTCCAAAATCTGTAACCCTCTCAATATATTCAGTGTTTTCTGGACTTTGGTTTCTGTTGAAGACAGAATTGCCAGGCACGTGCACTTTATACACCATTTGGGGCTAAGGAAGAGAATCAGTTTTTAGAAATCATACTTTGAACATATGTGCACTGGGTAGGTGCTGGAGCAGTGAGCTCTGAGACTGGAGCTGTGTTTTTGTGAGAGGGAAGTGCTGGTGCCCTACGGTGTCTGTCCTGCCATGGGGAATGATCCGTGGGATCTGGTGGGCTCAACACTGCTATCTGTCCAAGTGCTCCAGGAACAAGCAGGGAGGGGGCAGGTGAGAAGGGCCGATGAACAATGCCCAGCCTGTGAACTGCTCCACTGGTGAGCCACTAATCTGTTCTGGGAGCTGTCCCAGGACTCACACCCTCCTCTCTGGTGCTAAGTGGTGTGTGCTTAGTACCCTCTTCACACCGGGGACCTGCACAGTGTCCAGCTTAAATACTGCACATAAACACTTGGACTGTGCTGCTGCTTTCCAAACTGGTTCAGTGTGTTACAGCCGGAGCTGGGGCTGTTTCCCTCGAGTGCTGCTCACCCTGCAGCTGTTGGTGTCGTGCCTTGTGATTCCCTGGAATGAGGGAATTCCCTGCTTCCCTGCACGGCTCACTCAGGCATGGGGGTTTTCTGTGAGGGGAAACTGCAGAGTGCAGTGAGACCTGGGGGTCAGGTGTTGTTCTGGTGCTGAGCCTCCTGCCATGAGAATTCTCTCTCACAACCCAAGCAGAGCATGTGCATCCTCTGCTAAATTCAGAAGCATCTTACACATTCAAGTCCACAACTTGTCTCATCAAAGAACTCCATAAAGCATGCATCTTAAGGAAACCTTCCTTGTGGGGAATTTAATTATTTTTTTCATCAAACTTCTTTGAGCAATATCAGTTTACTTCCATTAATAACCTGAGCAGTACTGGTTTACTTCCACTACTAACTCTGTTGCAAGGTACAGCTCTTTGGGAAGGTGTCTCTCGTGGAACACAGTGCTCAAAGCACTCAACTGAGGCAGCTGATGGGTTTAATGGAAATTATTCAGCTAAAATAGAAGATACAGTTCCTTCAGGTTGCTGTGTTTCTGCATACCACACAGTGGACTCCCTTGCTCAGCTTCCATATTAATGCCCTTTATCTAGATATAAAGTTAATGGATTGTTGACATGCTGGAGTAACATCTTTTCTCTCAGCACTGATCAGCAATGATCACTTGGGATGAATGTGCCAGGCCCAGGGCTGAACCTGCAGGAATTCTGCTTGTTGTGAAAGTGATACCCCCAATCTGAGAAACCTGCAGAGCGAAAAATGAGTGTTTTCAGCTCTCTCTGAATTGGCTGCTTCATCAAGTAACTACACAAGCTGATTTTGAACTCAGATTTATATCTGGTCAGGATTTTGGTAACTTTTTTTTTCCCCAAATAGTTTTGGTGGTACAGTCCTTTCCTATTTAGACATAATTACCTGCTTATTAATACTTTTTGCTCATATAGCTTATTCTACATGTATAAAATAAATTATATAGGCATAGCCTGTGGGACATTCCTTTTCTACTGTGCTGCTGCTGTTGAAGTGGTGCAAATTTGTGTACAGTTAAGTTCCCAAGTGCACTTTCATTTGAAATGATGGTATTTAGCCCAAGTGTGGGGTTGGTTGGGTCTTTGTTTCCCTTTTTTTGTACTATGGGATCTTGGCTGGGCTCTCCCAGAGCTCTGTAAAGGAAATAACTTAAAAGGCCATCCAGAAAACTGCTGGTGTTTCTTAGGAGGGTTTTCTTACGGGATATTTGTGTCAGCTGATGCAGCCCCCTTGGGATTCTGCCTTCGTCCCTGACGTGCCAGGGAGAACCTTTGTTCCAAGAGGCCACCGGGGTGTGGGAGAACCCTTTGTGCAAGAACAAAGGAGGATTGTATCGGCATGAGCCGTGAAAGGCAGGGGAGGGGGCTGAGGGGCTCTTTCAGAGGCACTGCAGGGATATATTGATAGCAACATTTCCCTGTAAATCTCTCCCTTGATAGGAGTTCTGTGCGGGAGCTGAGCGGGAGATAAGATCTCCTTATTGTGTGTAAATTCTTAGTGATGAATATTTGATATGGTTTTCTTAATTAAAACACGGTGCCTCTTGTGTTTTTATAGCCTGAAGCAAAGAGCCTGGCAGTGGGCTGGACCGTGGTGGTAGAATTGTTCCTACACTTTAAAAGTAACTAACAGCTTGTGCCTTACTAATTAAGGCTGGAAGAGTGGCCCCGGTTAATGCAGGCTACAACAAAGCTCTTGGCTGGCGAGGGCAGAAGCCCAAGGAGTGTAGAAGCTGAAGCCTGGCAGAAGTAGTGGGTAATACTGCTTAGCCTTCCAAATTTTGGCAAAATATGCCTTTGGTGTAAACAAAACACTCTGTAGTGGAGACCGTGGAAGTTTTAAGATGGAGCAAAACAGAAACAGGTGTTTTTGGCTCGTGCCTGCGGTGGGTGGATCGTTCAGACCTTCTCTCCTCCCTGCAGAGGCAATGGTGCAGAGGCAAATTCCACCTCTGCAGCAAACCTGGGACAGAAATACCATGGGTGTCAGATTAATGTTGGCCTGTTGGTCTCTAGTGCCTGCATCGACCAGCAGGGCAATAAATGTAGACATTTACACTTTGTCACCAAGTTATTGGCTTCAGCCCCGTGCTTGGTGCTGCTTCTGCAGGGGAAACCTCAGCACCTTCCAGAGTGGAGCAGCCCTGGCAGGGTGTCTGTGAGCCCAGCAGCTCTCTGGAAGGAGAGGGGGAAGCCGGCTGCCCTCTGCCTGCCTCCAGGTCACAGGGTCTGCTGCCCCCTCTGAGTGCCAGTGCTGTTCTCAGAGCCTTCCCTGAGCTCATCCAGCTTCCCAGCCCTTCAGGGACAGCCCGGATTTCCCCTGGCTTTGTGAGGTGACGCAGGTGAGAAGTGCCTGGTGACTGACGAGTGCTGGGGGAGAGGACGTCTGCAGGTAATTCTGGGCTCCTCACAATCAGCTCCTTCACCTCCATCACTGCAGGATTCATGGCATGGATGCAAGGAGAAGGGAAAAAGTTCTCCGGGTTCTTCTGGTCCCTTATAGCCGAGAGCAGTGGCTGTGCCCCAGGAGATGACAGTGGCTGAAGTGGTCATTAAGGATCACGGGAGTCCTGTTGGCTGTGATTTCAGATTTCTTGCCCTTTTTGTTTAGAGTGAAGCGGATCTGTGTCCCTCAGCAGAGCTGCAGCCCAGGCACTTGCAGTGAGTGGTGTCTCATTTGGGGAGGAGGGGGTTGTTACGAAGCCCCCCTGGCAGTAGTTTTCTGAGGAGACTTGAATGGCAGTGTCCTTACACCCTGAGAGAATTTGCTTGGTTGAAGACAGTTGGAGTTTGTGCCAAGTGTGGGCGAGCAAGCAGCTGGCTTGACCAGAGTGAAGGTGGGAGGGAGATAAAATGGGAGATCAAAGTGGGCTTGTAACAGGAAGGGGTGTCTGGATTGCTGAAACCAGATCTTGAACTTAATAAAACAGCAAAGGGAGAAGGAGGATCCAGTGAAAGGACCTGGTGTCAGGACAGGAGATCAAGGAGTCCATGGCTTCAGAGAAATATGAAATGCTGGTGTGTCTGGCTGCAACAGAACTGTGCATAATAAGTTATGGGAAGGATTTTTGCACATCAGGGCCAAAGGCAGAATCCCAAAGGGGCTGCATCAGCTGATGCAGGGCAGTGGCTGCCAAGGGCAAGGGCACCGGTGCAAGGGCTCTGCGTCCACGTAACTCTCAAAACCAGGAGGTTTTGAGAGTTACTCACTTTTTTGTATATATAACCTTCACTTGGGGACTGTTGACAGTGACGTGGTGCTGTTGGATGTGTCTGTAGCTTGTTGCCTATGGGCCAGCATCATTAAATGGATTACATTGATCGTGTCTCCAGGCCCCGCTGTGGCCCAGGGAGGCTGTGACAGCAGTGACTGTGGGTGGGGTGGGCTCCCTGCAGCAGCTGGGACTTGCTGGCTGGTGGAATCACTGCAGCCTGGCTCCAGCTCCATCCAGGTGATCTGCCATGGCCCTTGCCTCGGATGTCTGTGGAGAGTGAAAAACTGTGTTTGTTGTAACGTTTTTGTGAAGCCAATGAAATGTTTTGCATAAAGGGCACAAATAACTGCAGAGCTTGCAGCAGTTGGGCATTTCTTGTGGATTAACTGGCAGTTCCCCGTTCTGGTCTCCCTTGCAGGGTCGGTGCCTTGGATGGTGAGCAGGAGGTGGCCCCACGATGAGTTACTGGAGTCTGGATAAGAAGAGCTGTCTGCAGTACTGCAGGCACTTCCTAGCGGACAACGGCGTGTTCCACGGTGAGTCACAAAGTTATTGGCTGGTTCTGGTTTCTGTGTTCCCGGCTGTCCCCGGCATTCCCTATCCACACGTGTATCTCACCGGTGGCGCTCCTGCCGGGACGAGCCTTCACCGTGCGGGGCCGGGCTGGGGGTGCGCGGGGACCCCCGGGAGTGCGGGGTTGGGGGGGCACGGACCGGGGGGGGGGCACGGACCGGGGCTGCCAGCGGCGCCGCGCGGGGCCGCCAGGGGGCGCTGCGGGACCGCCGCCCCCGGGGCTGCGCGTGCCGGACCCGCCGGGACCGACAGACCGACCGACAGACTGACCCCCGGTACTGCCGGCACCGTCCGACAGACCGACCGACCGACAGACTGACCCCCGGTACTGCCGGCACTGTCCGACCGACCGACAGACCGACTGACAGACTGACCCCCGGTACTGCCGGCACCGTCCGACTGACAGACCGACTGACAGACCGACTGACAGACCGACTGACAGACCGACCCCTGGTACTGCCGGCACCGACCAACAGACAGACTGACAGACCGACTGACAGACCGACCCCCGGTACTACCGGCACCGACCGACAGACAGACCGACTGACAGACTGACAGATCAACCCCCGGTACCGCCGGCACCGACAGACAGACCGACCCCTGGTACCACCAGGCTCCAACAGACAGACCGATTGACCCCCCGGTTCTGCCGGTCTGACCTGTCCCTGCCCCCAGTACTGCCGGTGCTGGACCTGCAGGGGTCCGACCTGAAAGTGTTGGGAAGGGCTTGAGTTCCAGGTATTGATCAGATGCCTGGGATGCCTCCCAGAGATCCCCAATCAGTGCCCATCACCCCCTCACCTCTTAGCCCCTTGCCATTGCAGGTGATGTGCTGTGATCATTCAGTTGTTGGAGGATCCTGCCACTAAATACTCTGAAGTCATTCTGATGTAAAATACTTCCTTTTCAGGATTTCTTTTTATATACTTAAAACTTGATATATCAACTAGAGAGCATATGTGTTCCCCCTCAGGATTGCTCTCCCTTTGCCTCACCCCTGGGCACAGGGTAAGGAGCAGTGCTGAGCCCAGCCTGTGCTCCTGTGGTGGTCAGGGACCAGCAGGATTCAGGAGCTGTCCCTGCCTGCAGTAGGTTCCTGCATGTCTCATCTGATAAGAGAGCTGGACCCCTGCCTGCCTGCTGGGAGAGTGACTTCCTAATGCTGTTCTGAGCGGCCCAAATCTTGTATTCCTTATTCCCTTTGCGGTCAGTGATTAAAAACTGTCACTTCAGGGCACATTTATGGCACTATTAATAACAGCAGCATGGAGTGCCTATGAATTAAAGATAGAAATACTTGTCACTTTCAAAGCAAAGGTATTTTTTCCTAGAGAACATATCTCCATTTTCAGTGTGTTTGTCAGGACTGGGAGAGTTTGCAGCCCACTGTAAACCAGGCTGTATCTGCATTTTTGTCACTGTGATTATGTCACCATCGATGAAGTTAATGGCTTAGTGGGAGAATTAATCATCTGTCAGTTTGTGGATCTTCCTAATGAAAGGCAGTTCCATTTTCCCCTGTACTGCTTTTTTCTTGCCCATGGGCACTGCTAGTTTATTTGGGACACCAGAAGGATGTTAATAACTTTCTAAGTCAGTCTGACAGTGGCATTGTCACATTAATTCATGTGTGTGCTGCATCTGGGACTTGTGTTACAGGCAAAGTGCTTGGTGAGCCTGTCATCTCCAGGCACAGCCATTCTGCTCCTCAGATGAAATGGAGTCATTCCTGGGGTTTATCAGGCCACTCATGGAGTCCCTGTGGTTTTGGTGGGATCGTGTCCCTTCTGAGTTGTCTCCCAGATGTCTTCACCCAGGTCCCCCCTCCCTGGGTCTGGGCACTCTGGCAGTGTTTTGGTGAGTGCCTGTTGATCTCCCTTCTCTCCAGGCAGCTCCCAGCTCCCTGGCACCAGTGTATTAACTGGAGCTGTTACATTTTGGATGTGTGGTTGCAGTTTTGCTGTTCCAGAACACATGAAGGAACACTCTGGTCGGTGCTCTGTGACTGAGGTGGTATTTTATCACAGAGCAGCACAATGTCTTTATCCTGCTAATGGTGCAAAGGCTGGATAATGATCCATCAGCACAAGGTCCAGTAATCTGTGAGCAGCTACTGAGGGATGAGTGTGCAAAGTGATAATTCTCTAAAGTTGAAGGCATAATTAGCAGGGATCCTAGACCAGAAAGATTCCATGGCTTAATTTATTTGTCTTTTGTTCATGACCAGACAGGATTAATTATTTTTCCCTGACAGAATCTCTCAGGGCTTCCCATTTGTCTCTTTTAACCTAAGCAAGACCCTGCAGCAACAGTTCCTTCACCCTGAGTGTGTGGAGGGAGCTGAAGTCCTGCTGGGCAGTGACAGGGGAGGCAGTTCCCCCAGCCTGATGTGAGGCTGTGTGCATGTCCCAGGAGTTACCACGGGGCTCCTGATGCTGGAGACAAGTTGGTTTCCTTTGGTGCTGTGCTGATACAGATAAAAGGGTTGATGGAGCTTTTTGGGGATTTGCTCCTTGTCAGCGGGTGTTCCGGTGTTGAGCTGTGTGTGTCCAGCTTAGTGTCTATTAATCCCAATTTACACAGTGTTTTCGTGATTTTTTTGGTAGTTATTGCTATTATAGTGTCATATTCTGATACTGAGAGCACGGCTCTTCAGGGAGCAAGCACACAGGGTCGTTGATAAGCTTATTTTCCTACACTTCTGAATGCTAATATTCTGTAATTGTTAAACAGAAAGAAGCTGTGATGTGTTTAGCAAATGGCTGATTTTGTCTCAGCTGTTCTGAAAGTAGCTGTTCCTACTTATATTACTTATGCTAATGATCTTTTTTTCTTAACTACTTTCATAAACACAAAATTTTTTTTAAAACTCCATTTCCATAATTTTAATTAATTCTCTAAGTTTCTAACTTTATCTTCTGGCCTCTCCACCTCTTTCCAGACCTGTGTCAGTAGGGACTGGCCACCATTGGTACGATGTTGTGTTAATTCTGCCCTTATTACCCCAACTGCACCCTTTGATTTGGAGCAGTGGGATAACTCAGTTGCATCGGGGCTGTCTGGAAGGTCACATCACAGTAACTGCCTGTAACTGAACCTGTGAGCTGGAAGAACTGTTGCACCTCAGGTGCAGGGCAGCCAGGTAAAAATATCTCACAGGATCAGTGGGTGTTCTTAAAAAGCACAGCACCACCTTTCAGAGACCTCAGGACTGGAGGCATCCACAGGGATGCACGATAGGAAATTTGCTGCTCTACTGCTCATCTCTGGTGCTTCCTCCCTCCCCTTGTGGCACCTGCACTGCTTTAAGCACCTGAGCAGATGTCGTTCCATTTGTTCACCTCCAGCTGAGGGGTTCAAGTGCAACAACTTGTGGACTGCATAAATAAGAATGCTGGAGCTCTGTATTTATTGGGAGTAGTTTAAATAGCTTGTTTTGTGTAAAAAAATTTAAAAAACCCCCAACCAACGAAAAAAACCCCAACAAACCCCAAACAAAACCAAGACCCCCAAAGAAACAAAGGGAAAAAAAGATCAGCTTGGAGCAGAAGCACTCACATGAACCTACAGCCCTGCTGGAGTGCACAGTGCTCTGCAACAGCAGGACAGCACCTGGCTCCTGGGATGCTTTAGTGCAGGATGTCCCATCCCTGGAAGTGTCTAAGGCCAGGCTGGACGGGGTTTGGAGCAACCTGGGAGAGTGGGAGGTGTCCCTGCCCATGGCAGGGGGTGAAATGAGATGGGCTTTAAGGCCCCTTCCAACCCAAACCAGTCTGGGATTCTGTGATTAGTTGAAGGAAGATGCAGAGTGTTGAGGAGCAGGATGAAGGTGGTGGTGCCACGAGGCCCAACCTAATGCAGTTCTAGTCAGGAGTACTGGAGCAAGGGGAGCTGGGGAACAGGCAGAGAAAAGGGCTACAGAACTGGAGATGAGTCACGTTTGTTTAGCTTGGAAAATCAAAGATTGAGAGGGGATGTGACTGCTGGCTCTGACTGCTTTGCAAAGGGAAAGCTCAGGGAGGAAAAGGCTTATTGGAACTGATGGGGAAAGTTGGCACAAGAGCACATTGAAAATTGTCCACAAATATATAAAAAAGACACAGGATAAACTTGGGTACCTTCAGCTGGTGATTGGCAATTTTGGAAAAATGGTTAAAGCATCCTATTTGTTCCCTTGCTCTGAATGTAGTTAGCAAGTAGTGTATTGACTAGTGGGAATAGAAAGCTGGAAACCGTTTGTATGGTCCCAATTCAGTTCCTGTGTACAGTGAACAGCAAACACAAACAGCAGTGCTCCCATTCCATTCAGGAAAACGCTGCTGTACATGGCCCAGGCTGCCCTGGCACATTGTAATGGTGTTTAGGGACACTTGCACGTTGTTAGACAAGAGGAAGTATTGATGCACAACTGGGGCCTTTCCCCGGGGCTTTCACGGCTTGTCTTTAGGTGGTGACTGACACTCGTGTGCAGTGAAGGGCTGTGGGCATTGGCACTGCCTGAGGCTTTCCCAGGATTTTATTACTTCCTTAGGAGAAGCTGCTAATGGCTGCATTTGCAGGATATTGAAATTCTTATCTGTTTATGTCTGAATTTTTGGTTACAGAAGTGGAGGTTGCTGCTGTGCCTTGTACTCTGGGGAGTCTTCTCTGCCCAGGAGCAAAAGTGTCAGTTTTCCTCAGCAGCAGCAGCAGTGAGATCCAGCAGTGTGTGTGCACACGGAGAATAACAGGCTGGGGGCAGATCTGGGCCTCAGCTATTTTAGCAGTTCCTGTAGAACAGAGCAGACAAGCAATTACAATGTTTGGAATAGCCTTGAGGATTTGATGAACCCACTTTCTTTTCCTTCCTGTTGCAAGCAGTGCCAAGATACAAAGTGCAGCATCCCTCTAGGCTTGGAAAAAGAGGGGTTTTTTTTATTTTCGCAGGGTTTTTAAGCTGTAAACGTGGATCATATTTTGTTTG